ATAGAGAGCATACAATGTAGTATATATCAAAAAAAGAGATAAATAGAAGATTACATTTTGAACCAAGTATGGATATTTTGAATATAATATGATACCTTTTGGATTCACAAATGCACCAACAGCTTTTTAACATCCAATAAATGATGTCTTTTAAGAGTTTTTAGAAAATTTTATTGTTTGTTATCTAAAAACATCTTAATTTTCTCTAAAAATGTAAAAGAATATGAATTTCATATTTTTTATATATTACAAAATCTAAAAGATTCAAGACTCTATGCCAAGATAGAAAAATATGTATTTCACACTACTCAAATTGACTTTTTAGAATACATCATTTCAAATGATGGATTCATTATAGAACCTAAAAAATTCAAAATATCATGAATTAGAAGATCTCAAAAATGACAAAAATTATTTAATATTTCTTAGGATTTTTTAATTATTATCGAATCTTCATCAAAAACTATCTTTAAGTTATAGCTCCACTTATACATTTGACTTATAAAAACAAACTTAAGTAAAATCAAGAAGTAGAAGTAATATTTAAAGCTTTAAATATAGCTTTTATTTTTGTACTAATCTTATATTGTATTGACTTCTCTAAGCCATTCTTTATGAAAACAAACATATTAAACTTTGCTTTAGATGTCATATCGTTGTATATGGGAGCAAGTAATAAACTTTATTTAGTATTTTTTCATGCAAGAAAATTTTTAATAGCCAAGATCAACTATGAGATCTACAACAAAGAATTCTTGTAATTCTAGATTTATTTTAAAAATACCATTATTATTTAGAAGGCGTTGCTTGTTTAATCACTAAATATATGAATCTTAAGAGCCTTAAATACTTCATGTCAACTTGTATTTTGAATTGTTTCCAAGCTTGTTAGACAAAACTACATGCAACAATGAAGGCATAATTGAAAAAGGCTCAAAAATAACAAAATACCAATGGAAATTCCTATTGCAAAAAACAACTTCAATTCCACATTAGCAAAAAAGTATGATTATTTTGTTGCAATATTAAAACTAGACACTTTTGTCACAAGTTGGATTATTGTTAACTTGGACCATTTTCTATTTGTGAAGAAAGCAATCTAATTGCTTATTGATTATACTTACAAAAGTTTATGAAGATCCATTTCATATTCCACATATTTTTTTTGAGTGATATAAAATAATGAATATTTTGAGAAGAAGACAAATGCCACTTCTGCTTATAGGAGTTGATAATAATCAAGCATTTAAGATGGAAGAAGTCCTAAATTCAAGGTAGCGTCAAAATAGATTGAAATATTTTCTTCATTGGCACAAATATGATATTAGTAAATGTACATGAAATTCAATCAAGGATCTTGCAAATGTAGCAAAGAAAGTCAAAAAAAATTATCAACAATATTTATCAAAAGCAAAATAAAGAATCAAGAAATTCTTCGTTTTAAAAGAAATAATGTTAAATAAAAATTTCTATTCTTTATTGTGATTTCTTTTTATTAGTGGTGCTAACAAGATGAAAAATCAACAATTAAAAAAATCAACTCAAGAATTATTATTTACTACTTTATTAGATAAGACATTGTAATTGTTACAACTTTTAAGACAATACAACAGAAATAAAGACCTTCAAGAATGATATATTCTTCCTTGAATAAAAGGCAAGATACAACACATTTGATATCACAACCTTAGAAGAGATTCCTAATATTTAAATGTTTTATTAAAAGTAAGAATGACTAACAATGTTTGGTGATTTTATTGGAGGTTAGGATGAACTAATGTAGGGCTAAGGTCAAGGAGGCCTTGTAATTAAAATGCATCAAAATAAATCAATTATAGAATTTCTTGTGTAATTTGTTGTAACTCTCAAAATCCTAAATCCTAAAATCAGAATGGAGATCTTTGTATGTAGTTGATTTGATACTTCAAGTATTGGTCATAACATTAAAGTTAGTCTGTCATGGAGGTAGACATGCTTGAAGAGCTCGCCATAATCCAAGATAGTCAGATGTGCTTGTCTTGTTGAAGTAACCTGAATTGTTGTGCAAATTCCAATCATCAAGTGTAAAGTGCAGATCTTTGAACTTATTATTTAAACCTATGCAACAATTTGCATGCATGGTCACAACCTTCATCATACAGTTCATCAGTTGTATATCAATCTACATTTCTAATACTAATCTCATCTTCTAAAAATAAAAAGCCTATTTTTTATATGGTATCAGAAAAATCCTTGTATTTTATTGCCTCTATAAACATTATATCTATAATGTTTATAGAGACAATAAAATTCTTTTGAATGTGTAGAACCACAAGAGATAAAGTGGAAAAAAACAATTTATATATTCTTGCAAGAATAATGTAAAAGTAAATGCATAAGAACAAAAAAACACACACATACACATTCAAAATCCTTAACTTCACGATTTAGAGATTGAGACCCATAACCACAACCATGGTCACAAGATTCAGATGTTTTCATAGACGAACTTGTAAAGTGGCATTCAATTGTTTTTTTTTCTATTTCAACTACATTTGATTGATGTTACAATCTATCTTGTCCATCTTAAGAACAATGTTAGAGTCTCCATGGTCTTAAAAATTCTTAGTATTAAATGTCTTAAATCATGATTTGGTTTTTTTGTTGGATTTAATATTCTATATGTTGTCTATGTTTTTTGGAGGGTTTGGATTTTGAATAGCTTGGAATTCAAGGTAATTCAAGAATATTTGGTCTACAACTATATTTCTATTTTGATGAATCTTATCATGTTTATTACATGATTTTGCTATTGAATTTGTTTGATGATGTTTTTCTGTACTTGCTATACTTGGTTCTTTATATTTAAGTAGACCATATTTTGAGTACCTTAAAAGTGTTGCTATTATTTTGAAAGGAATGTATGCTTCTTTTATTTTTATACTTAGATCCTAAATCTTTAATTAATTCTTAGATAATATTACAACACAATGTTTTTTTAATCTATTTGGTGGTATAAATAATTGCTTTTAAGAATATTAAAATTTTGAATATTAATTTTTTTAACAAAAGTTATAAAATCCAAACTTAATTTTTTTTTAAATGTTAAGGAAAAAGTATGGTCAATAATTTGGATAAAATTACTTTATATTAAAATTTTATTTATTGATATTAATTGAAATTTTTCTAAAATTAATAAATATCATGATATATTATAGGTTATTGATAGTCTATATTTAAGATTTTTAAAATTTAAATTTATTTAAATTCACATCTTATTTAATATATTTTTTTAATTTTCTTAAATTAAAATTATTAAAATGTATTTAATATTAAAAATATATATTATTTTAAATATTAAAAAATAGACTTGAATACAATTTAGATTTATTTTTTTGAAGTAAAGATGGATTAAAATATAATAATTTTTTGTTCTTTTATTGTTTGAATCATTATTTATTAAATTTTAGAGAAAATAGCATTATAGTGATAATTTTAGATACTTAGTCCCAATTTTTTTTTATTTAGTACAAAATAAGATAATGTGTTCTATATAAATCTCACGTAGATTATAAAGAACAAAAAAAATTAAAACTTTAAAAATCTTTAAGTCTTAAATAGAATCATGTAAACTAAATTTTGGATATTTTGGGATTTAACTTTTTTTTAAATTAAGATATAATTTCTTTCATAATAAACCAAAGCATATATATATATATATATATATATATATAAAATAAAAATAAAATAAAAATAAAAACTATCTTTTTGCACTAAAAATTAATTCAAGTTTTAGATTTCTTGCAAATATATTTAGCATTTTTATGGGCTTCTTTTTTAATAAATAAATATATTTAATAAAAAATAAATATAATTTAAAATATAATCTTTGTAAAAATATTCAAATAAGTTTTAACCACTTAGTTGATTGTGAAATAAGTAGTGTGGTTTTTTTATTTATTTTTAATTCGGATAAAAGATACAATACTATTTACAAGTACTATTTATATTTACATTGCTTCTTGTAGACCACTACATAATTTGGGATTTTTTTTATTATTAGCTTAAAATCGTTTACAAATTTTAGAATCTACAAAATCATAGCATATATGTTAGAAGTATAAAAATCATAATCTTATTACAGTTGAGCATTTGTTGGATAGATAAATTTGGCAATGTTATAGATTAAATTATTTACTTATTTAAACTAAACTTTAAAAAAATATAATTTTTTTATTATTTATATCAAATTCAATTACTAACTAAATATGATGTAAAATTTGAATTTTGGACAAACTAAAGAGACATTTTTTTATTCAAATTCTAATAGAAGACTATATCTTATAAATATTCATGAGAGAATATACTTGTTATACAAATGGCTCAAAGACCTTTTAAAAATAATGTATAGCAATACGTTAAGTATTTACCATTAGAACAATTGCATTAGCATATGACTTCATCAAACAAGTTGTTTTGAAACCATTTCATTTCTTTAACTGTATATTAAATAAAAAAATAAAAAATCGAAAAAATGCGTTCATATTCACAACTACTAGTTCTGCTCATACAATAGCCAAAGTGGATGATTTAAATACTTACATAAAATTTTAATGAAAGATTATCAAAATCAAAACTGTTTATAAATTGTCCTTATGATATTTGTCTGCTATTATTTTCCATCAATACACACTACCGTTTGCTACTTGGTAAAGCTGTTAACCACAAATTTAGATGTTTTCATTTAAAATTTATACAGATTTATGTCCAAACTGCATCAAACTTCACACGCACAACGTACCATTACCTCATGAGGGGTATTGTAATTGGAAAAGAAGAAAGAGGAAAAATTTGGAGAGATTGTGCTGAAACTTATGCTCCTTGTCGTCGATAAAATTTAGACCTATTGACCTTTAGTATAGACCATGTAATGTGATATGCTGCAAAGTTGAATGTACACAAAATGTGCTCATTTCAATGAATTTAAACCTATGTTTTATGATTTCTGACAAATCAGCTACTACTGAAAACTCCATGCTTTGGAGATGAATGGGTGATGTTTGCCATTACATCAAAACAAAAACAAAAAAAGAAAAAAAAAAAGTGTCCATCAAGGAGACATTACCGCAACAGAGCTCTCAAATCTTAAGTATGACCATCGTTATTCCTATACAACATGCCACTCACTAGGCATACTCTTTAAAGTTCTGCAAGCTATCAAGGAGACACACACCGGAAAGGCTAAACCTAGAAAATCATACCAGCCACCCTTCCAAAAGATGGACTTGAATTGCAAACACGCAGTAATTCTGTGTACAAATGCGTACAAACGGCTCCCAGCTCGATAAACAATCAGTGCAGATTAGGCTGATCGCAAAAGCGAACACTAATCACATGGCTGAACCTAACACTGACACATACAACTCCTAATTTATTAGGAGTTTCCAGGTAGCATGCATCAGCGCCATTTTTCAGTTTGAATTGACAATAGTATGTTGGCTGCTGATTCTAGAGTAGCAGAAACTGCCCGCGGCACAGCCTTGATCACACCAATTTGATGCTTAGATACCTTAGCAGGAGACAATATCGGGAACCAACGGCAGGCATCAGGATCTAGGCTCTCTGATCGCATGCGTTTCAATGACTTCCCATTTGAGGATCCCTTCTGTTGTCTTCCCATTGATTCCAACTCTGCACCTTCCTTACTATTTCCTTTGTTTCTTTCGTTGCTGTGGTTTTTGACTTCGCAATCAGAATTCTCTTGTCCAGCCTCCGCATCTTGACAGGCTGCACCATCTTCGCAGTCAGTTTCCTCTCCTCGAAGATCTGCAATATCTCCTGTCTTTTGAGCTGAATTTCGGTCTCCACGAACCCTTACTTCTCCCCCCCCCCCAACTTTAGCCCGGTCGCAACCCTCCACAAAGTCCCCTTCGTTGCTCCGGTTAGCTCCAGTGTCAGACATCTTTCCCGCTGATCGATCATTTCCCATTTGTGCAGTTCTTTCAACCGATTGACGGGATCCACTAGATGATGCGAAGTGTTCCATGTTGCATGCAGGAGATGAGAAGCCCTTGCTTGGTACAGGAGGTGCTCCTGGCACAGCCTGTTGACCGTACCACGCTGCTGCTTCAACTGAGTCTCGAGCATTCCATGGATGAGACATTCCTGGCAGCGGCCAAGCTGGAAATCTGAAAACTGGCATAGCTCCTGGATGACCATACACTGGCACCGATGCACCCATCATAGGATAAGCTCCGTACCCAGGTGAACAAGTCGGTGGATAAGGTACATACACGTAGGGGGACGCCATTCTTGGTGCCCACGGATTTGTAGCATAAGGAGGTGCCTGCCATAAAGACTCAGGAGTGAAGCTATGTTGAGAGAGTACAGGAAGAGAGTACATCGGTGCAGGGAATGGTGGCGGAACTGGTCTTGGAGCTTCATTCGAAGCCTCACAAACATTCGTATCTAGACATCTGTCAGGTGTTTCTGAAATTTCAGGAACTTGGGAAGCTCCAGAGATTTCAGAATCTTCATGTACTTCAGGAACTACAGCTAAAGGACTTGAGGGCACAGACACGTTGTCGTCTTCTTCTTCTACCTTATCTTCGTCGACGGTGATAGAAAAACACAGCTCCTTTGCGAGAAGGTGCTGCACCTCCATGATCCGGTGAAGATCGAACAATTGCTTCGAAAAAATCCTTTGCTGTCTGGGCATGCCAGGGATGTTCGTCACAAAAAAGAAAAAAAATGGCATTCGAGGTTCATTCTTTCGCAAAATCGACGATCAATTTAAAATCCTTACTTAAACAAATGATTCCAACACCTGATTTCTGAACTATTAACGCTCAATACCTGATAATGACCTTCTGAGTCTTCCAGAATCCTTGCTGGCCGAAGATGTTCACAACATCCCGAAGTTGTACAAAATCCGTTGGCACATTCTCCAACATTAAGGAACCTGTCCTCGCACTGCTACCTCTTTTTTGCTGATAAAGTTCTGATATCTCCTCACTCTGGTTTTCAGAACTTATGTTGCTGATGATATCCTGTTCCGACGGAGCTATCAAGGTGTGCATTGAGGAAATACGTGCAGTTGTAGGATGAGTCTCTGTTATTTTCGCGAGGCCTGCGAAACTTTTCCTTACCTCATTTCCATGAATTCGAACATCCTCCTGTCTAATTTTGCATGAGCTGGGCTTCACATGACCGCGATGTCCCACGGGAACTCTGTCCAACTCCGTATGACGAAACTCTTGAGAATCCACATCATTGTCAATCGCAGAAACAGTCGTGCATTCTTCACTAGCAGTATGCCAGCTGGCATCATCCTTGCGCTTTCTTGACGTTACCTCAATGCTCTTCTCTGTAACGATCCGTCGTACTTGGTTCACACATGCAGAAGTTCGCTTCTCCATTACAAAATTCTTGCATCCTGGAGGAAGCTGCTCTTCTCTAGAGTCTTGTTGGGTTTGAAGGAGACTCGAGGGTGTACCCGAAGAGTGAGCGGGCACTGCAAATTCATCATCTCTACTTCCCTTCTTGCTGGGAGAATGTTGTTTTGAGTGATTGAAGGATTTGGGCGGCTGAGTAACTGCACCTCCCACCGACGGTTCTGAAGATCCATCCACAACAGTACTTTTACTGCTGCAAGTGTTGAGCGAAGATCTAGAGTCAACACTGTAAAGTCCCGAATTCATCATGGGTACACATGCCATCGTTGGAATAATGCCGGAATTCATATAGTTCATGGGCACGAATGAGTACATACTATCATAAGATCCAGTTTGTACCTGGAATTTGAAAAAATGGATGAGTTAAAATCGTCCATAAGATTGACAGAATGCCCACACGCACTTATTTAAAACCAGTTGAGGTCAGCTCGTTATATGCGATATGTACTGGAAAGCCCTCAGCATACCTCTAAACATAGGCCAATCCACGACAACACTAACAACACCGTACCTGAGGTAGATATGTCGGGGTGCACATGGAAGGGTACTTCGTATTTCGTCCTGAGGAGGGCAGAGCGATGGGAGACGGTTTGAATTTATGTGATGGAATAGTGAGCTGCTCAGAGAGTGCCATCTTGTTGCGCGGCGGACCTCGTGGTCCTGCCTTTTTCGTTTCCGCTACATGCAACCGGGGGAATAGAGCAGCTCCAACTTCCTGCTGCTTACTACCATCAGCTTTCCCTTCCATTGATCCCTTCGTTTTGATATTTCTGAATGACATGGTTGCCGATCCTACTCATCTACACCTTACATAATCATGTAAATGTAGTGACCCCAATAACACAGTCCTGTACTACTTTTGCGAATTCTGTGGCTTTCGCAGGAAATCAACACTTACTCGGTACCTAACCCGTTAAGTCAACACTTTCTCCTCCATGCCCATCAATGTTTTGAATATGATATGTCCAACGCTGAAACACCACACTGGATATCCTTGAGCATGTTTTTGCCACGCTGGTTGTGCCAGGTATAACCTACCTAAAACACCTTGACCCCTAAACTGCCGCAAACACTGCACCTTGATGTTCACCTTCACAACTGTCCCAATTCGTAAGAAACAACCTTTCAATCGTGATCCTGAGAAGAAATAGGGCAACAGAGAATCTTGTAAAGCGCAAAACTAGGCATAGGTCTCCAACTCGTTTTAGAAACGTGATACTAGACGCTCCTACAGCCCAACCACAAGTAAATCCCAACAATAATATGAAGGCATCCGCGCCTCAAACGCTCATGTGCGTTTACAAATAATAGTGCCCCATATCGACCAAATTACATTAAGAGATCAAACGCGTGAAAGTCGCCATGCATGAACCAAACCACTACATAATCCATCCCACCGCACCCCCAAAACCTAGCCCTGATCGTGCACCATCGTCACATCCCCAGATCTATCCCTTTACAAGACCTGCGACATCCATCAACCCCTCACCACTCCAACCTCCCTCCTCGTCACCTCAACCTATAACCCTCACTCACCCACATAAAGATCGCAGCAGCAGCAGCGGTAGCAGCGACGACACTATGCACCGACACACGAAAACGCTCAGAAACAGCACCTGTCTACTACTGCCGTCAAGGATCCTCCGAAACGGTCTGCAGCGCCAGGTACCCAAAGCTCATTCCTCTTCCATCGAATCAACTAAAGACCCCAACAAGCGTAAACTCACACCGCCGCATCAAACTTCGTCAAATCTCTCTCTCTCTTGCTCTCGCTCTCTCTCTCTCTCACACACACACACACAACCCACCTCAGCAAAGAAAAGATACCATTCCAAATGCGCCGCTGATGCATATAAGGCCTTCTTAGGATCGCCTGAGAGAGGATCGATCGGTGCCTACAACAATAACAACAACAAGGATACAAAATTGCTGCGTCGTCATTCAGCAAGCAGATTTGACCAGCCACTGAGCGAGAGGGTTTTGGTGCCGTCGAGAAGCTCAAACAAAAAAAAGCGGCTTCGAAAGTTTAAGTTAGACGAAAAAGAGAAAAATATTACTACTCTAATGTGGGGCCTCCACTTGGATGGTGTACTTTTCATCCATATTCTGCACTTTTCGTTCGTTTCGGCATCCTCGGTGCCGAGGTTTCAGTGGGAGGCTTGGCGCCGCACCTTACGATGCTCCACGTAGGACGACGATAAAAAAGTTAAAAGTCACAGTATTGAGGAAAAGCTTTTGCAAAAGTTTCACTGTAATAGAGGTTTTCTAGTGTTTTTAATAAAGAGGATCTATTAATTAAATTAATAGGAATTTTTAGATACACTCAAAAGATTTCATAGCGAGAGTTTTATTTTTCGAATTGCTCTTTCCATACAATTTAAACACTCATTTAATATTTCATTCAATTCATGTTCTGGTTGTATTCAAATTAAAAAGAATAATTTATGATGGATTTCTCATTAACGTTTGTAGTCAATTAAATTAGAAAAAATTAAATGTAGATATTAATTGTGTGAACAGCAACACAAGATTATCTAAAGTCAAATTTTGAAAGTTGTCTTTTAAGACCTTATATCTGAACAATAAACAAAAAATCAAAGAGAAGGTTGGTCTTCTTCTTTTAATAATCTTTAAGTATAATAATCCGTTGAATAGTAGGGCTTCTCTACTCTTTTTTCTTTTTCTTTTTGTTTATGTTGACAGTTTTGATGGTGGTTTCAGGGTGATGATTCAAATGTTGTTGCAAGGAAGTTTTCGCAATAATCTTTATATGTTTACATTTATGTTTGTTTACTTATTTGTGATTTCCCACCAATCTTTTTCTTTAAATCATTTATCTCATAGGTTGGAAATTGTCATTATCAATTCTTACACAAGTGCACTTAAACACTATCAACTCTTACACATGTTCACCTAAAATATTTGATAAATTTTTGTGGTAAGTGCAACAAATTGAAATAATCAAATTATAGTCTACCAATTCACCTGTGTGATGGTGAACCTGTGTGATGGTGATTCCTATAATGGTAGACTATAATCAGCAACCTTCACAAAGTAAAATATCCTTATCACAAAAGAGGCAAATGGAGTAGGAAAGGTGTCAACTAATTATCGTTTTTCCTTTCACTGATAAAAGATCCAGAAGATGGCAATAATACCATTACAAATGCTACTCATTCTGAATATAACAATAAAATTCAGAACTTTCCGCATCCCATCATGAAGTTTACTGAGTTGTCGAGGAGACAAAGCGACTGTAGGAAAAAATTACAGATATAACCTAATGAACACCTACAAACTTCCCAGACTACATAACCAAAATGATGGGCACCTGAAATGCACAATATTCAGCAATTTCAATTGTACCTGCGTGGGGACAGATCCTACCTCTAGATGAGAAGTGTAGGACCCTAAAAAACGCAAGGTTCAAAAAAAATTGGAAAAAACTAATCAGCGACCCATTTGAATATGGTTGAATCCAGAAATTTGCGGTGGTAGAAGGCACACAACCCAGTTCATCAGCAGCCTCGAGATGCCAGTGCTCACGGTAGCCCTGTTCACCGCTGTCTTTCCATTTGTATTGATAGCAGTATACTTGCAGCTGATTCTGGAGTTGCAGAGACTGCCCGCGGCACAACCTTTATCACACCGTTTTGTTGCGCGATTCGCTTGGCAGGAGACATAATTGAAAACCACGAGGACATATCAGAGACTTGAACCTCTCGCGGACGTTTCAAACCAGTACTTCGCAGTGGTTCCTCGCCCCTTGCTCCTGCAGGCCATTTTTTCTCTAACTTCGGTCCCGCAGATTCCTCTCCAAGACCAAAAGGTTCACCTCCCCGACAGGAGTGCTCCCCTCTATGTTCTTCGCGTTCAACCATCCGACCTACGTCGCTTGGTTGCCCAAGCCCACCACCAGTCTCTTCACGTCCAGTGAAATAATCTCGACACTGTATCTCACCACTTTGAGGAACTGCACCGCATTGATTATTTTGCGACGTATATGGCTCCTCACGGTCCCATCGGTTTTCCGTAGTCCCCCGGTCTTTAGTCCGTCCGGAATTCTCAACAGCATTCACTGGGTTGGAGCGTTTAACTTCTACATCAGTAGTCTCCTCACCTTGCCAAGCATTTCCCTTGAGTGCATTGCTTCCTTGGAGCGGTCTAGTAGCTCTAGAAGATGTTAGACGTTCAGAGTTAGTTCCGAGAGAAACAACCCCCATGGTTGGTGTAGGTCCTCCTGGAACCACCTGTTGACCATACCAGACTGCTGCTGCTGCTGCTGCCGCCGCCGCTGTAGGATCTTGGGGACACCAGGGCTGAGACATACCTGGCTGCTGCCAAATTGGAAATCTAGAAGCCTGCATTCCTCCTGAGTTTCCATACATGGACATCGGTGCACCCATCATAGGATATACTCCATAGCCAGGAGAGCAAGGCCCTGGATATGGTACATACATGTAAGGCGGTGATATCCTTGCGGCGTATGGATTTGAAGAATAAGGCGCGGCCTGCCACGCAGCTCCAGAATTAAAATTCTGTTGAGAGGTTATGGATGGTGGGAGCTGCAAGGGTTGAGAACGTGATTCTGAAACTGGTCTTGAGATTTCCTCGGAAAAACGGCTGACTTCCCTTTCTAGGAGTCTTCCTGAGCTCTCTGGAAAATCTGGAATCTCAGGGACTTCAGCCACCGGACTGGAAGGCAGGGGCACATTGTCGCCTTCTGCTTCTAGAACGTCATCAAGGTTATGGGATAGACTCGGTGATTTTGCAAGGAGGTGCTGCACTTCAATGAGCCGGTGGAGTTCAAAGACCTGTCGTGAAAAGAGCTTTTGTTGTCTGCACATAACAATTTTGCCAGGGTATTATGCAGGGATCACGTTTATAATTGACACGTAGGATAACACAGCTCACGCTACCTTCCCAAAATGGCGAAGTAAATCTGGCTATGCTATACACAACTCAAGTACATTAGGTGTATGCTGTTCTGACATTCCAACAAAAATCTCTTAAGATGTCAAGTTGAATTTAAACAAGAAATCGCGAAAGACCAAGGTTCATGTGGAGGTTGTTGGTTAAAATGGATGGAAGAAAATGCCCAAATTAGGTAGCAGAACTACACTACCTCTACCCCTGCCTGAACTGTAAACTAGCTACACACACCATGAACACCACTATGCTGAGAGCAGACATAACCAGCACGAGACACATGAAACCCCGACGCATCTTCTCCATGGTCACTCAGCATTAAACATTTGAACCTCAGCAAACCCCAGATTGAGGGATGTTATACCTCATGATTGTCTTCTGGGACTTCCAAAACTCTTGCTGGCCGAAAGCATCCACTACATCTCGAAAACAAATGGAACCGGGTGGTAAATTCTCTAGCATTGACGACTCTGTCTCCGCACTGCCACCTCTTTTTCGCTGAGAAAATTCGGATGCCTCACCGCTTCGGTTTTCCGAGCTTTGACTGCTGAAGATATCTTGCTCAGGCACAACTCTCAAGCCTCCATCCTCATGCACTGAATCCGGAAGGGCAGCGGCAGCACGGGCGTCTGAGGGTTTGGCGAGGTTTGCGCAGCTCTGTTCTCCATCAGCCTTCTGCCCCTTGGCTATGTCCAGCCCAATTCCAACCGGATAAAGCTTAGTCTGACCGCCTTCACGTTCTCTGGGACCAAATTCCACCTTTCTATTGCTGATGTCTTGAATGTTAACATCATTATCGATAGCAGAGGCAGTCAAGCATTCGACACTAGCAGACGTCCAGCTAGCATCATCCTCCATGCTTCTCTCCTTTCTTGTCCGCCGTAGTTGAGTCGAGCATGCTGGAGATCGCTTATCCGTTACCAACTCCTTGCCTTTACGCACATCCCCGCCGCCACCCCTGAGGGTTTGAGGAACCTGAGGGGGATTTATGGACGGTCTCGTCTGACTTCTCGCTTGTGTGGCCGAGTAAGTAGGTACCGCAAAGTCGTCGTCTTCCTTCCCTTTCCTGCTGGGCAAAGATTGCTTCGAATAACCAGATGAAATATTTCCACGGGAGAGGGTTTCCCCACCCCATGGAGCTGGCTGTGATTCTGTTGTCCCGTCCACAACAGTGCTTCTGGTACTGCTGGCATTCCTAGAAGATGTAGGTGCAGCTCCATCCCCAACTCCAACACCGTAGAGTCCCACATTCATTATGGGCATGTATGCCATTGTGGGAATGACGGTAGGACTCATATAACTCATGGGCATGTACGAATACCTACTATCATAAGATGAAGCTTGTGCCTGCAGAATAAATACCAAAAACGTAAAAATTAGAAACATTTCAATGCAAACACAAATTGAAAAGAGCTTCATGCCGATCTTGAAAATCACATGGATAACTTCTAAAACAAGACAGAATCCAAATGTTGTGCTTGGTTGTTTGAGCCAAAGAAAAGAAACAATAGTTACTCAAGCACGTGCATCCCCTTTCAGGACTCACCGCAAGTAACAAACAGAAAAAGATGAAATTTAGATTGTGTTCGACAACTCCGCAGCAATCATGGTAAACTTAACGAGATAGATTACCACATCACAACGTAAGACCAAAACTTCAAGAAGCAAATCGCACGAATAAGAATGACAAACAGTCGACCACCTGAAAGTACTTATTACAAAATCGATATGTCTCAAGCAGAACCTCAGAGTCGGCCTAGGAATAACAATATGACGCGAAAAATCTCCAAAAGAATTCGCGAACACTTTGCCAACCATAATCTCAACAAGATCTGAAAATACAGCCCAATCCACAATTTCAGCATTAACACCATACCTGCGGTTGGAATATTGAAGTCGTCATGGAAGGAGTAGTCACCATGCGACCAGAGGAGGGCAGGAGCATCGGAGATTGCTTGTATCGCGATGGAACAGCGAGCTGCTCATAAAGAGCCATCTTGTTGCGGGGTGGACCCCGTGGACCTGCCTTTTTCGTCTCTGCTACATGAAGCCGGGGGAAAAGGGCAGTTCCAGCTCCCTTACTCCCATCGGCTTTTTCATCCTTTGTTCCCTTCATTTTAATATTCCTATATGACTTTGTTTGCAAATCCTCGTCGTCTGCATCTGGCATAGTAGGGTAAAAGAGGCGACTTTAACAGCACAACTCCACGTTTCTTGTGCAAAGTCTGTAGCCTTGAACCAGCAATGAAATCTTGATCTTCCACACATCCAAAAAGATGAAGCCACCTCAATCTTCTAGGTTGTAACCCACCGAGTAAGCAGCCTCTCCTCCATGGCAAGTGATCCACCAGTTCACGGTTGGCACCTTTAAAGACTCAATGGCATACGAAGCGCCAGTACGTCTAGCTTGAAAGGAAGCATCGGACAAAGCTACAATTCCTCTCACGTGCACCCACAAGCTCGAGCAGCTTATCAGGAAATCTCAAAGGCTCACAACGTACAAAGCATATGCGTGTTTATGAACACAATCGCAGCGCGGTATCAACAAAAGTTATACTTGGCACTTTCTGCACTCCACATTCCCTTACAACGGACCACTAGTACCTAGAACCGAGCCATACGTCATCACAAAAGCACGATGGTCACCACTGCAAACGTCGCCCTTCACTCCAACACGACATTAAAGATATACACACCAGAAACTGCAATATCCTCAGCTCTCGCTCCACAGACACATCGCCAAATGACACTCCACACTATCAGGCTACACTTCGAATCACCACACGAGCACGCTCTCTCGCTCAATACTACCGCAAAGAGCCTGTCAACGACACCCGGCATCCCTCACTCCGTACAAGTTTCAATATCCACCGATCCTCCGCCAAATATCCACTATCATCGAACGTTGAGACGCACTGAAATGCAGAGTAATGCGCCAAAAAGCACTCCAAACAACAAAGCTCGACTCTGTTTCACACTAACACGGCCTGGAAACCAACAACAAATTCCCCATCGCAGCTGTTCGGGAGGGGAGAGAAAAGGCTCCGTTTCGAGTCTACACTAGCCTGTATGCATCCGTGTTTGGCTCAATCGAGAGTAGGTTGTATGAGGAGTGGGACAATGAGACGGTGCGGCACCGGAACGCGTTCATGCAGGCCGCAGATTGGATTGAAGACGGCAGTAGCAGCAGCAGAGGAGGTGGGGGTGGAGGGTTTGGTGGAACAAGCGCAATGGAGGTTGCGGAGTCGATGGGCCCCGCCTTCCTCGATTGTACTTTTTGTGACGAGGCACTTTATGGTGGAGCCCACTTCCATGTGTGCACTTTTTCTAACCCTCTCTTAGTCCTCTTAATTCTGCTTATCCCTTCTTAATCGTGCTTATGCTCCCTTAATCGTCCCTGCCGTTACATCGAGCTTTGGCTCGGGGAATTCTACCACTTCTATCAATGATTTCATGTATATTCTGGGAATATTCGCAGTGAGGATTACCTTTGAAATGTGTATTGCAGCCACACGTTATTTTAATCTCCATAGTCCCAAGAAATCATGTACATCCAAACAAAAAGTGTTGAAATGGGTTTTTAAGTTCTGAATTTAAGAATTTAAGAAAAGACAAAGTTAACATAGTGTTCCAAGTTGTTGTCACTTGTTCCTAAACCACTTATTCGTAAAACAAATTTGGGGTTCAAGTATTCTTGTTCGTTGTGAAGATTTTTCATTTTTCATTTTTTGAAATGGACACTCTTATTTTGAATTTTGTTTTTTTTTTTTTGGTTAAAAGGGTCAAAAGCATTAAACCATGTGTAATTCTCAGAGACAGTTCCCATGCTTAACGGCATAGACGTTTGCGAAAATTAATATTAAAGAAGAATATGAACAAAAACATTGAACAGAAGTTACATCAAAATTTGACATTTCAAATTGTCAAGTGAATAAATAAAAATCGGAATAATTCCACAAATTAAATATTATAATTCATCACTGAAAAGAAATGTTTTGTCAACCGAACCAAAGTATGATACATTTCTGTGGGGAGCATTACCAACATGATGTGTTGCCAAAAGCACGGTGATAGGGATCCAAAGAGAATCCCTCACATACCTTTCACTTTTTCATTTCCCACGTCAGGTTTTGGGACTTTCCGCCACAGTCGCTTTTCTATTTCTGTCCACCCTCTATCTCGATCTGTTTTCGTGAGGTGGGGCAACATTAGGGTTTCAGCATGGTTACTAAGTTTTCGTGGCGAGTGACAGTTTCCTACGTTTCTCTAGGTGGAAGAAATTAGCGAAGGCTTCGATGGCTTCTACAGCTTGCTGCCGAACCACTCTTATATGTAGCCAGGTGATGCAGGGGGGGGGGGGCATCGAAGCGGGACCACTTCGACAGAGTTTGGGAAGATGGGTGATATCGCTGCTGCTACAGCAAGACGGATTTTGAATATTGCACTGAGAAGAAGTCGTCTCTTCACTTCGTTGCCAACTCCGCAGCGCACGAAACCCTTCTGCAGCCTGCGCAGGGAGATCTACGCATCTCAGTTCTACGCAAATCGGCTGCCTTCGTCTGGCCAAAGAATCCAGGTGCGTCGTGAACACCCAGGCAGACGACCTTCAAGGCTTCGTCAATGTAGGTGGTATCTGTGCCAGGCTCCAGACATTCAGTTTCAGCAATAAGACGAGCTTTTCTCTGTTCAGGCCTTGGGGCGCGTCGCTCTGCCCACAAAACGGGGATGGCGAATCAGGGGTAGTGACATTATCGCACAGATGGACGGAAAATCACCATTGCGAGCTGATTGGGGTAGGGTTGTAGGGGGGCAGAAGTGGGGGGCCAGGCTGGAGCAACGATTCTGGGTGGCTGGCTGGCTTGGAAGCAGAGCAGAGCGCGACGATATTGTGAAAGCCTATTCCACCACCGTCATTGGGCGACTAAGAAGCACTGGGTATCCGTAGTGATCCAGTGCTGCTTTGAGCCCACAACTACCTGTGCATCTGGATTTTCGTGTGGCAAGGCCGACGGCCACGTCATTCCGGGGCTTCTGATTCGATCCACCCCCGATCCCCTGCGCTCCGCTCCGCTGCGATGCGATGCGATGTGATGCGACGCGTCGTGCCGCCTTTCGGCGCTGCATGAGCTATCAAGCCTAACTCATAAGCCCTTCTGTGGATCTATTCTCTCCGTAGATGCATTTGTGGCAATGCCATTCTAGAGCCACAGAAAATTTCCTCGAGAACGAAACCATGCTATGTCTACATTCAATGATCCATTCTGTACACCTGGAGGAAAAAAAAAAAAGAAAAAAAAAGGGTAGAAGAATGGGGAAATAAAAGTAATTAATGTTAACTATTTAGGAGCAAATACTGTTGTTATGATTATCAAAAAACTGGATTGAATGAGATGGTTATTGGTTAAAAGTCTCATATAGATGTAAGAAAATAAAATAAATGAATTTAGAGAATGAAAGGTGTTTGTAGATGTACGTTTGCAAAATGCCTTACCTGTAATCATATGGAGAAGAAAACATGTGTTTAGATATTTAATGATTTTTTTTTTTTTTTTCCAATTATCATTGAAATATATTACGTTGATGTAATATTAGTGCAGATACAGGTAGATAGAATAATTCTGAACATTGTATTTTCTTATTATTAAAAACCAATAGAGTATTTGATCTGTATCATAAATGTTGTTGTTGTTGTTTTTATTAGGCTTACAGGCTTTGTAATTAGAACAAAGAATGGTTTCACATGTTCATTTTTGCAAGGGCTTGGTTTGGAGATTGATTCTTGGTAGTGCACTAGTTGTAGGGCTCTATGGTGAAATCAAACACTATCAGATTTTGATAGCTTGTTATTTCATTGTTCAATAAAACTCTATTCTTCTTTAATTTATTGTAATTTTTGATGAATGTATTAATATTATTTATTTATACAATTTTCAATAGAATAATTTTCAGACATTAACAATTTTATGTTAATAATTATATAAATAAATATATGCATTTTTATGTATATGTGTTTAGTTGTGCTTGTTTTAGTTTAAATCAATATGCATTTTTATTTATTTTATTTTATTTCTTTTTTTGAAAATAATATATATGTATATATATATATATATATATATAAATAGTTAGATGAGAGGAGAGTAATTGGGATTAGACAATTTCAAAGAATGTAAATGGTTTTGTGTAACATTAACAGTTCCCACCACTATTAATATTCCAATCTAGGAGATTGAAGAACATACTTTGAAAAAAGAATAAAGATCCAAAATAAGAAATGGGTTGTGGCACCTCTACACTCAACGACATGGCCGAACCATATGCCAAGTCAGCTTTTCAAGTGCATATACTTTCTCTGGTGTAAGTTCCTCTGTGATATTGCTCATGGCATTCTACAATTAGGGAACAAATAGCCCAACTCCGCCTTCATCGTTTAGCGGGTCTGGCTTCAAAGCTTTCACCGAAACTTGAGCAGGATTAGCCACCGTGGAGCAGTCAATGTCGAACCCATTTCTGCGGAGCGGCGCAAGCCGACTTTCGCCCTGCTCTACTCAAGCAAGCTCGAGATCCTGAAACGTTTCTCGACGAAATAGCCACTTGTCCGCCGCAGAGAAGTCTCACAGCACCAGCGTCACCAGTTTGTTTTTCGAAGCCACAGGGGCCAACTATTTTCTTTTCCTCTCCCATTACTGACCAGAATTTCAAGCAACTCCCTTGCTGACTCGACGTCGGCGTATCGTCGTTTCCCATCGAAAGATACTACAGCAGATTGGCGAGAACCAATCACGAGGCGGAGAATCGCATCGCAAATTATAAGGAGTGAGGTCCTGACGATTATAAGATTAGGAGGAATCATAACAACAACTTTGCACTTCTGTTTACTAGCTAGGTAGATCGACACATGACTGCCACCGACGATGACCTCCAGCTGAGTATGCTCTCGAAAGCTTCTTCTCAGATTTAGTTCTGATTCTGCTCACATGGGGCAAGGGACATGAGACAAGGCCAAGCTTTGCTATGAAATTGGTAACCACTTGAAGCTCTAGTTGCGTTGCTGAGTCGGCTTGGGGCAACTTGCAAAACTGGCGCGTATGGAGAAACGCCACCCCCTTCCTTTCAGCATTTACTCAACTACCGTATTCGTGCGTTCATTCAGTCGCTCAGCTGTTAAGAACCGACCTCCGAGCTGCGTGGATCAATCGCAGCCGGGCAAGCTTCCTTCCTCTCTGATCTAGACGGTACCAATACTCTTCTGATTCCAGCACTTCGGTTTTTTTGTACATGTGAATCACCCCTTCTTTGTGAACCATCTGATCGGTGATACTGATACTGAGGTCAAGCCAAGATCTAGCTTTTCCAAACAGTTTTCGACCATCCATGAAGATCTAGCGGCTCGTGGTCAGCCAACGAGCCAACGTCGGAGCGGATTTGATGACTCGACATCCAAGCCCTTTTTCCCTCTTTGTTTATGCTTTTATTTTTTATTTGCAGTGCACAGCTTTTGACCTCAAGATTGTTTTGACTGATGCACAGAAAGTAGTGACGACGGCTTTTTCCTTTCTGCCGCATATTAACTCGCTGTTTTCTTTACAAAAAGCGTTGAATGAGGCGACGACTGTGAATGGAGCCGGGTTTTCAGTGTTCACACCATAGCTCATCTCGGAGCAGCTACAGGAGTACAATCTCTCTCTCTCTCTCTCTCTCTCTCTCTCTCTCCTCGTTGTCAACACCGCACAAGAGCTCAAGGTCAACAGATGCTGCAAAGAGTGAATGATCAGTGATCAATATAGCTCTCTCTTTCATAACAGAATTTTAATAGTTTGATTTTCTTATGCTTCATCCAAGTTTTTCTTCATGTTTGAAGCTTGATTTGCTGATGTAATGATTCATTTGTCCGGCTGAGATTTTGCTGAGTGCAACACAATAGATGTATTCTATATTATGGAAACTAACTCTAAATGTTTCATTTTCCCTTTATACATAATGCCTAGTCTAGAAATTATTATTTTGTACTATAAGAATAATTATCTTCTTACAATCATCAATAGTTTTATTCTTTTGAAAGTAGATAAAATTAATATATAAACAATAAAGACATACTCTTTTCTTGAATTTGTACATATTTGTAAAGTTTTTTTATATTTGAACATAACCTCATCTTATTTATCAATAAAAATTACATATTTTTAAATATCAATTATAATTGTAAGCATTTGAAAAACAACATAATTCTCTAACATGAAATTTTAGAGACAAATATTTTTTTAAACTAATATCAAAAATTATTTGTAGCTTTAATTATAAAAAGTTGCTACAAAATTTAAACAATCTTATGATTTTTGTTCTAAATTAAAGATGTGTCACATATATATTTATCTAGATTAAAGAAATTAAATATAAGTAAGTAAAAATAAATTATTTTAATGATATATAGTAGAGAAGCTTCTTAAAAGCTTTATAGATGTGGATTTGATTTTATATATATTTGTAGATGATTGGTAGGTTGAAAACTTGGTCACATTGATAACTTATTATATAAGTTGGCAACATGGCATGTATATAAGAAACTTGTTTTACAAATTAGATATATGTTGTGCAAGTTGAACACATATCAAAGGTCCTATAGAATGTTGCCACATAACTCTTAATTAGATAGTATACATGTAGAAGCAAGAAAGAAACCTTCTATATTTTTGTTAATGCTTTTTTTTGTTGTTAATATTATTTTAAGAGTCTCTAGTCTTCTTATTTCTACTAATATTCATTCTAGTTTTAATATTAAACTACCTTTAAATAAATATCTACTCTTTTTGAATGATACATCAGTGTATTGATGTTTTGATTGTTTGCAATTCATGTCTTTGATAATTTGATAAGAGTCCTAATTTACTATTCTTAATTTGTTTTAGAAGTGAGTGAATTATTTTACTTCTTTTATTGTAATTTGAAGGTTACAAACTACCTACCTTTGAATTAATATTTTTTATTTTCTAACATTGATTTTTTCTTTGAAGAAAGTAAATTACTCTTTTTTGTAGAAATTGTCAAACTTTTGGATTTGTTAAAGTTATCTATTATAGAGATAGAAGAAAATATTATGGATGCTATCCTTGACAAGAGTAAGAATAGGTTTGCAACTATTACAAATCATGGATATATTATACAAAAGATTAAAAAAGAAGTTGAACGTGAAAGTTTTAACAAGAAAGCTAGTATGAACTTAATTAAATTAGATGAATACAAAATCAATACCAAGAGAAGTGAGTTAGATCTTCAAGAGATACATCATTGAGACTGAGGATCTTCTTAGCCTTGATTCCAATACATACTAGATATTAGGAAGTTTCTTAAGAAGTTTTTGTATTGCTTGGAGAGAAAGAAACCTTAAGATCTTTCTTGGATAACTTCTTTAATCCTCTTAGATTTTTTTTAGAATCTACTAGAATATTTTAAAAATCTTAAAAAATATATTAAAAATATCTTTAGAATTATCTTCTTGGATGTTTGTAACATCACCTTTCTTTTTAATTCCAATTTTTATAAAGAGTATTACTTTTATATATATAAGAATTTGAAGATTTATAGAACAATAGTTACAATATATGTTGTTCATTGATTTCTATTTAAAAGATAGATAGTTCTACTCAAATAGTAATAATGGTCACATTCATTTGCTTGAGAAAGACATATTCTTACGACTTGATTAACATTAAGGCCTTCAAAACATCCATGAAAAATAACTTCATGTTGTAGATATATATATTTATTTCAATAATTATCCATATGATTAGTTAAAAGTAAGTAAATATAGATTAATTTCATAATATATTTTAGAAAAGCTTCTTAAAAGCTTCAAAGATATAATTTTGATTTTATATATATTTTTAGTTTATTAATAGGTTAAAAATTTGATCAAGAAGTTAACCATATATTACATATATTGGTAGCTTGTAGAACAAACTAACTATGTGGTACATATATAAAAACTTACCTTGTAAGTTAAGACATGTGTCTAATAAAGTCAACATGTATTGGAGGTTCTATAGAACATCATTATGTAATTCATAATCAAATAATATATATGGAGGCAAGAATGAAGCCTTCTTAATTTTTATCAATGCCTTTTTTGATCTTTAATCTTATTTTAAGATTTTTTAGTCTTCTTATCTTTAGCAATAGCCATTCTAATTCAATATAATACTATCTTTAAGTGATTTTTTAGTTCTTTTGAGTGACACAAGAGTATATTAAAGATTTCTTTCTTTAAGATTTATATCATTGGTATTTTAACTTTATTAGATTCTATTGCATCAACTTGCAATAGAATAATTAAAGCTTGAGCATCATTTATTGTAAACATACATATTTACTCTAATACATATCTATATGATTAAGTAGAAATAAATGAAAGAAGATTAATTTCATAATATCTTCTAAAGAACCTTCATAGACATCACTTTGACTTTAAATGTGTTTGTAGGTTAGAAACTTAGTCAACAAGTTAGTCACACATTATATATATTGGTAGCTTATTCCACCTACTAATTATATGGCACATATATAAAAAACTTGCCTTATAAGTTAAAACATGTGTCTTGCAATTTAGACACATGTTGAAGGTCCTATAAAACATTGCTACATAGCTCTTAATTAGATAGTATATATGGAGGCAAGAATGAAGCCTTCTATATTCTTATCAAA